TATTGCTATAAATGCACTAGTATTAAGCCTGCACATTGATGCAAGTATTATTTATTGAGTTATATTTGTCACTAAATTTATAATATGGTTTTCATGTAGAACTATATATAAAAACTTAGTTAATATTTTTTTACTACTATTTACAAAGTAAATTTCCAACCCAGTTAACAAAAGGACAAATTTTTGAAACCGACCTTTTTTCAACTTTATTGGGCAAAATCGACCACATGGGAAAAAAATAGGCAAAACCGACCCTTTTCAAAAGAAAAGGGTCGGTTTTGCAACTATGGAGGTTTTACGAAGTGCACGGGACTACTAGTCCCGTGCACTTCGTTGTCAAGAGAGATTGCTGGAAACAAAGTGCACGGGACTAGCAGTCCCGTGCACTTTGTTTCCAAGAGCCCTTCAATTCAAATGTCTAGTTGCCTTCTATTACCTTGGAAAGACCTCAACTATTCCCTTGTTTATAGAAGAAAAATGGGTATTGGTTACTGTTTCCATTGGCTATGATGCACGCGAAGGTCATCATCTTAACCTTCCCCATTTTATCAACTCTCTCACATCAAGCTTGACAATTTATTATATAATGTTGGTTCGGTGGGGGGCAATGAGCTTTCCCTAGCTAGCAATTCACCAATTGATATTTGCGTATTGGACAACATAAGGGAAAATTCAGTTCGAGTACATCTTCATCCCCATTTCTTTTAAGCTGGAAACAAAGTGCACGGGACTACTAGTCCCGTGCACTTTGTTTCCAGCAGGCTCTCTCGACAACGAAGTGCACGGGACTAGTAGTCCCGTGCACTTCATAAAACCTTCACAATTGCAAAACCGACCCTTTTCTTTTGAAAAGGGTCGGTTTTGCCTATTTTTTTTCCACGGGGTCGATTTTGCCCAATAAAGTTGAAAAAGGGTCGGTTTCAAAAATTTGTCCTTAACAAAATAGTATACCAATTAACAAGTTTTATCAATTTTTTATAATAAACCCAAAAAAAGATTTATATTTGTGAAATGTCTGATGGAGGTAATTCATCATTTGCAAGGCAAAAGATTAAGGTTAAATTCATCATTTGCAAGAACTAAAAAAAAAGACATAAGCAGTGTTTTCAAAGTTAAAAAATATCACTTCAGTTTGAACAATGGATATAGGGCTAAAAAATTAACTATAGCATATAAAACATGATTAAGGCCAAAAATTATATTGTTGCATGAATAGTGTTTACGAGAAAAAGCCATTGCTACTTGAACACTATACGAAGGCTAATAATAATAATGTAGCATGAACAATGCACTGAGCTTGATAATAATACTACTCGACCAGTATAGTAAGGCTGATAATAACACTGTATTATGAATAATAACTTAAATATTCTAAATCATGTTGTAGCAAGAACGGTGTGAATAGTAGTTTTAATATTCTGAATCATACTATGTCTAAAGTAGTTTTTTACTGTAATATGAATAGTGATTTTAGGATTTTGCTTTTAGGTTAGAGGAAGTAATAGATAAGCCCAAACTTTTCCTTAGCTGATTCCCTCTCCAAAAATTGCTTTTGCCAACCCTTCTTCCCCTTCTTCTGCTCACGTGGATATTAGAGAGAGAGAACAATATTTGGAACACCTTTCAACCCGCCGAAAGGCAAGATTATGGAATAGGAGGAGATGAGCGTTAGAACATTTTTCGGGATATAACATTGTTTGTGTAATATCTCTTTTTTGATTAATAACAAACTCTCATTTGATATTGATTTATTTGTAAGATGTTATATTTCTGGTATAAATAGGTACGAACAAGTTACAGTTCAAAATGATGCAAAAATCAATATGAATGTTTATTTTAGTCTTTAAAACATTGATGGTCAAGAGGCCCCATTGATGGTCAAGCAACTCATCGATGGATTGCAGAAAATAATCAAAAAAATAGAAGTAAGTAATTAAACCATTTATGAACTACAACCAGCCATCGATAATCTCAAGACACCATTGATGGACTATAGTTGACAATTAGAGAAATTCAAAAATTAGAATTTGAATAATTGATGGTCTATAGTCAACCATCAATGGCCATCAATATTGTGACCCACCATTGATGGTTATATGATGTGATTTGACATATTTCAAAAGTTAAAATCATTTTTGATCATACGAGAGGAGTTAAAATCATGCTTGATCATATGTGAGTGCCTGTATAGATGTTATGAATCCACCGAAACAAACGAAACTCAATTCGGATATGTATAGCTCGAGATATGAATGTTTTAGATAAACAAGATCGAAATAGTTAGTAGCATTATTGAAACATACACAGAGGCTAAAGCTTGTACGAGTCATAATGTTTGGCTCAGTTATCGAATTGTAATAGCTATTCGAAAAGCTTTCGATCTAATCTATCTAATAATTGATGGTAAGTTGAGCCCATCGATGGTCTACAGTGAACCACCAATGGACTATAGGAACCAATTGATGATTTTCCCGAGAGATAAATAGTAACCATCGATGGTGATGACATATTTTAGCAGATTTGATGTTTTAGTCTCAATCTTTCATCTTTCTTTTGATTTCCAACTTCTATCAGGTCTATGATATTTCTTTTCTGATCTATTGTGGGCTCTATATAAGAGAAAGAAGAGATGATTGATTGGAGGTGATCTAGGGTTTGAGGTTTGAGAACAATGAGAGCTTTTTATCCCCAAAGTCTCATCAATCACATCCTAGACGTCATTCTTCATCATGTGATCATCAATCTTCAAGGAATATTGCCCTTGAACTTCATCATCATCATCGTCTTCAAAGTCTACACTTTAATCATTAGGAGAATGATTTGCTAATCAAAAGGGATGTAAGATTTTTTAATTGTGCTTTAACCGTTTTTGGGTTAGTTTTATATTTTAAACTTAAAAGTTTGATGACATGCTGTGTTAGATAACAGGTTCCTAATATGTTTCCTAATTTATTTTGGTAGCAGGTTATTGGGATTCCTAATTTGTTTTAGTAACATGATTCTAAATCTGTTTTGGTAATAGGTTATTAGGATTTCTAATCTGTTTTGTTTTTTGTTTTAGAATTCCTAGTATGTTTATGATTTTAGGATTTCTATATATATGGAATAATTGGAAGAGAGAATTGAGAAAAAAATTAGAGATATTTGGAGCATAGAAAAAAGGTATTTTCTGAGCTAATTGTTAGTGTTTTGTTTGGAGAGAATTAGAGATTTGTAAGTAAGATTAATTGGTGAGTTTGAGTGATTTGTAATCTCAGTTTGTACTCTTCTTCTCTATTAGTAAAAAAATCCTATCCCTTTCTTGTCATGTGGACGTATGCAACTTGCCGAACCATGTTAAAATTGGTTGTTTGTGTTTGTGATATTGATTTGGTTCGTTTGGTCTTCTCTCGACGTTTGATTGATTTGATTTCTCGTAGCACGTTGGTTTGGTTGTTTGGTTTCCGCAGCGTTCAACAAGTAGTATCAGAGCTCGGGCTACGCTTGGACTATTTGGAGGAGTAGGTCGTTTTTGAGGCTCGCCTAGGGCTTCGTTTGGTGATAAATATGGGATCTTTTTGGTAAAAACTCTATCTTTTTTAGTTTTAGATCTATTCTTCATTTGTTCTATATTTGTTTTGGTGTTTTGAGAAAGATGGCCGGGAAAGAAGGAATTGTGGAGGGTACTTCCGGCGTGAAGACCGTCCAAAATTTAAATATTCACTCAATGAAGATAGATGTGGAGAAGTTTAATGGCATAAATAATTTTGGTATTTGGAGATGTGAAGTCTTAGATGTGCTCAATGCTCAAAAATTGGAAGATATTTTGGAGTTAGATGGGAAACCGGACGACATTGAGGAGAAGGTTTGGAAAAAGATGAATAGAACGGCGTATGGTGGGATTAGATCTTGTTTGACTCAAGATTTAAAATATGATGTGATCAATGAGACTTCGGCTAAGAAGATTTGGACTCAAGATTTAAAATATGATGTGATCAATGAGACTTCGGCTAAGAAGATTTGGGAGATCCTAGAGGGTAAGTATTTGAAATGAGACTTCGGCTAAGAAGATTTGGGAGATCCTAGAGGGTAAGTATTTGACCAAGAGTGTAGAGAACCACTTGCATTTGAAGAGGAGATAAAATGAGCAACGATCAACTTGATGTACGAGGACTAAGTTGAGGAAAAATAAAGTGTGGTGATCAATTTGAGTAGGGATTATAATACTTGGACCAAATTAGTATTTTAGCCATAATAATATACCAGGCATATACGGGGAATTACATATCTCTTACATGGAATTGAAGGTAATTTTAACCCTCATTTTCTCCTCTCAAAGCTTTGAACAAAGGATGGGCGACAAAGTTCCAAGGAGAGGCCCCTTGGACTGGTTATACATCCATATTGTTTCTTTGAGATCACAACTTTCTATGAAATTACTCATATTGTGCAAAATGTGTACGCACTTTCTTTCACCTTGGGCATTAATATAAAGAAATGGTATCATTCAAGGTTAGCAAATTTCGCTAGGTCAAAACCTTAATTTTACGCTTTTAGCAACGACGGCGGCGGTGGGGGCGCAGCGACGACGGTGATGGTGGTGGTCGACGGTGATGGTGGTGATCGACGGTGATCTGTCGGGAAAATTTCCGTCGCCATTACTAATTCATCCGTTGGCAAAACAACATTACCGACGGATATATAGCAACGGAAATTCCGTCGCTATAGGTTAACTTATAGCAACGGAATTGTCAGTCGCTATATATCCGTCGGTAATAGTCGTATTTCTAGCAGTATAGGCATGACTTCAGCCTTCAGGTTTCATGAAACAATATTTTTACCGATTAATACAAAAAATGTGATGTAAAAATTTTGCAGAAACTTCCACCTTAAACAAAAAAAAATTTTGCTGAGGGACCAACGTGAGAATGAAGGCCCAGAGACCAAATTGGCCTTTTACCGTAGACGGATCAAATAACCGTACCCGAGTCCAGTTTGGAAAACAAAAATATCGAATCCGCGTCAAAATAAGGCGAAGCTCACGCGCAAACATTGCAGCTCCAATCAAGGCGCATTAATCAACAGGAGACCTCCTCTTTCTTCTTCCTCGTCCCCCAAAAACCCTAACCCTAACTCCACCATGGGCAACACTGAGAAGCTAATGAACCAGATCATGGAGCTCAAATTCACCTCCAAATCCCTCCAACGCCAAGCCCGCAAATGCGAGAAGGAGGAAAAATCGGAGAAACTCAAGATCAAGAAAGCGATCGAGAAAGGAAACACCGACGGCGCTCGGATCTACGCCGAGAACGCGATCCGCAAGCGAAGCGAGCAGATGAACTACCTCCGCCTCGCTTCCCGCCTCGACGCAGTCGTCGCTCGCCTCGACACTCAGGCGAAGATGCAGACTATCGGAAAATCCATGGCGGGAATCGTCAAAGCCCTAGATTCTTCGCTGGCGACTGGGAACCTTCAGAAGATGAGCGAGACGATGGATCAGTTCGAGAAGCAGTTTGTGAATATGGAGGTGCAGGCGGAGTTCATGGAGGGGTCGATGGCGGGATCGACGAGCTTGTCTACGCCGGAAGGGGAAGTGAACAGTTTGATGCAGCAGGTGGCGGATGATTATGGGTTGGAGGTCTCGGTGGGGCTGCCGCAGGCGGCGGCTCATGTGATTCAGGGTAAGGAGAAGGAGAAGGTTGATGAGGATGATCTCTCGAGGAGGCTTGCGGAGCTTAAAGCGAGGGGATAGATGGTATGGTTTTTTCTTGCCTTTTTATTTGGTTGTGGATATAATATCGTGGGCTTCGATTGCGGTTCACATCAGTTAGTTTGTTGGTAGGATCTCCTTTGTTCGTAAACTCTCATGATGATTACTAATAGAACACATTACAAAACAAAGAAAAAGAAAGAAATAAAAAATCAAAGATAATCAAAATGAGTCGTCAACTTCATTGTAAGTTCCCGTTTGCACGACCGTTCTATGGATATAAATGAAAACCAATAATCTTAGCAACAACAAGGGAAGTATTAAATCTTTATTACTACTCCTACAATACTTAAAATAACTTCATCTACATGTACCCCTATCATACATCAAACAACGAACAACGTAGAAAGAGATTGAGAAAGAAAACTATATCAGAATAAAACTATATCTTATCAACTTAAGAACTATAGAGGGAACGTAAATGACTATATCTTTCTTCTCCATAATGAAATCTTGCCGCTAATGAGATTTTATAATGGGGGATAAGGAAATAGGTCGGGTAGAGTGAGGCGGATTAGGTTATTTAGAATAGGTGGGTAGGATAAGTGCATGTTAAATACTCCACCCTTCAAATTTGACCTTATCCTCGAGTTTGAATGTGAGAGGGGAAAAAAAATCAAACAATGCTAAAAATAATTGATGAGAGTGTTTTGGCACTTGCCATCTCGAAATAACAAAAATCTTTCTAATGGGCTTTAACAAACCAAATGCAATGACTTTTCATGCAAAATCCTCGATGCAGAATCAACACACCAGGCTTTATGTAGTCAGAAACCATCAAATTCCACACACAATTATATTTTTTGTGGCATTTTGTCAAATACCCTCCAAACGGTAGTTCCGCCCATTTCAAGTACATTATAAGTTGAGAAGTAATAAGATCACATTGGAGATTGGTCTAAAACATTTGCATATGGATTTGTATGGCTTTGGCAAAGGGGAAACATTGTCACAATAGTTAAGGGTAAGAGGATTGCAGTGTTTGGAAATGGTTTAAGTTGAGAGCAGCTAAGTGTAGACATGGATGTGAAGTAGTGAGAGGTTGGCATTGACAGAACAAATTGTGTATCTAATATTGAATGAAGCATTAACTAGAGGTGGCAGATAGCGTGACTATAGTGGAGGCAGGTGAGGGGGCAATGAACATGGGGCAACAATCAATGACGGAGCGAACAACGAAGATATTATGGACAAGTTTTTTTTCCCATGTGGCATTTTGTCAAAGTTCGTGGATATTTTCTATGGTGGATGGAGAGGATTGACAAAGGTGAGGGAGATAGTGATTATAGTCATGGGCAATGATGTAATGAGGGTGTCTAGTGGAGACTTAGAGGCGTAGCTAATCTAGTCTTTTGAGAGGAGAGTCCTCTTAGGAGTTCTGTCGAACATTTTGCGAGTGTCATCATTGGTGGTGGGCTGATACGGGTGTATCTTCTTCTATGTTTCAGGAGTTTAGCAATCCTCATGAGAGCTTGAGGATATATGATTTTCATGATATTTTGAGAATAGAAGTGTGGACAAAGTCGTTGAAGGCGACAAAGACGATCAAAAGCAAGAAGGCAACAGAAATTCAGAACCTGGCACTTAGGCGCTGACCGGTCGAACGAACCAAATTTGCGATCGACCGATTTCATGCACGCTACCAGTGTTATCGAGGCGCAAGTCGCAATGCGGGGCGCAAAGGTCCCTTACGCGCACCATGCGCAAGGCGCACAACAAGGCGCGCGCCTCACTAACTGAGGCGCATAACTCAAATTAATATTTACCAACATCATAAGACAGAAACATATAAGCAACATATTAGTTACCTACATCCAAAATTATGAGAATATCAACTTAAATCATCAATTATGCTAACTGAATTTTTAAAGTAACAAAAAAGATACAAGAAACATGTATTTAAATCATCAAATTAAGTGATTAACAATTATGAGCATATGTTTATAAATTATCACATAAAAAGACTAATAAATATAATTAACAAACATGATTGTTTATAATTTTCTAGTTAGTATTCTTAATTGATATTTGCTACTTAGCTTGAAAAGATAAAGAATAAATGTAATAATTACATATTTACATGTTCATAATTTGCTATTAGCATGCTAATTAGAGAAGGAAGTTACAATTAGCAAACAAGTATACTAAATTACTAATTATTGTTTTCTTTTTATAGGTTAAACATGAAAAGATGAAAATAGATTACTAACTAGTAAGAAAGAATATATTACATGATATAAATATGTAATTATGTAAATTATTTAAAAAAAATAGAAGAAAGAGTATGTTACATAACACAGGTGCGAGGCGCACGTGAGGCGCGTGCGAGGCGCACGCGAGGCGCGCGCCTCGCTGCGTGCAGCGCCCCGCCTCGCGTGCGGGGCGCATTTCGCCCAGGCTGAAGCGCCCCGCGCCCGGGGCGCGCGCCTCAATAACACTGCACGCTACAGGGTGTTTTTGGTGTGCTCTGTCCGATCGACCGCGACATTTCTGTCGGTCGACCGGTAGCAGGTTCCGGTAGACCGCAGTCTCTTGTCGGTCAACCGATTACAAGGGCAGTTACGGGGGGATTTTCCACCTCTCTGGCTGGTCGACCGCGACACTTGCCGGTCGATCGGATCGGGTTTCCAACTCTAATTAGAACTCTGTTTTGATGTAGTTTCCTGATTTGTTTGGACTTGTTATTTACAAGATTACCATCCATGTTGTTAGGGATATATATAGGATTGTTGAGGGTTTCTAAAACAATCAGATTGTATTCTTAAAAGGGATTGAGAGGAGAAATTCTAATCAAGTGATTAGGGTTTAGAGAGAATAGAAAGTTTGTTCTTTATTCTAGTGAGATTGTGAGTGTGAGATTTTGTAATCTTTGATTTTTCATAACCTAGAGAAGGTATTTTCCTTCGTCAATTGAATTGTTCTTGTGTTTTCTATCGTCTTCTTCTCAACCTATATTTGGTAATTCCGCGACCAAATGTGCTCACACGACGACTCATATCAAATTGGTATCAGAGCAACAGATCCTGTGAAGGGGACATCATGTGTATATTCCTTACTCGATCACAATACAAAAAGCTAGGCGAGATCCTTATTTCATTAGAGGAACTCCAGAAATTAAGGAAGGAGAAGATGACTGAAGGGGACAATTCAGCGAGACTTGATGTGGTGGAGAAACAGGTCGAGGCAATCAGTTTGATGCTGATCAAACTCATGGATCTCATCCAAGGATGCGACAAGAAGGTCGAACTCCGTCGGGGTCAAAGAAGAGATTTGTAGAATTCGATGGGGAGGATGAGAATTCAGATTCAGACGAGGGGGTCGAGGCCGTCAAGACTGTTCAGCATCAAGGGGGTAAGGGTTTTTATAAGAATTTAAAAATAGACTTCAAGATGGAGATTCCTGTCTATGATAGGGGTGTCAACATCGAGAGGTTTGATGATTGGATCGAGCGGATGGAGACATTTTACCCTCTATGGATATTCATCCAAGGAGAAGATCGTGTTCGCGATTTTAAAGCTTTCAGGGCATGCATTGACATGAAGAAAATCCTACTGTAAGCAGGAGGAAGACAATATCGTGGAACAATTTTAAAGAGCTACTGAGGAAGTAATTCTATCCGGTAGGATTCCTTGAGGAGCGTTGGTACAAGTGGTACGACTTGCACTAAAGAGTCCATCAAACCGTTCAAGAATACACCACAAAGTCAGCAGCATGCGATTGTCCTCAACATTACGACGGAGGAATATTCTGTGTTTATGAGGTACATGACGGGTTTGAGCGAGTACATCCGAAAAGAGATGAAGCTATTCACGGTGGAATTTATTGCAGAGGCGAGCGTGAAGGCTATTGCCATCGAAGGCAAGCAGAAGAACAACAACGAGGTAAAGAGAGATGCAAAGTAAGTTGGAGGCGAGTCTAGTGGTTCTTAATCTAAGAAGGAGAAGAAGAAGAGTGATCCAGGAAAAGCAGAACTAATTTGTAGTCACTACGAGAAGACAATACGCGTACCTGATCAGTGCTGGGAGAAGTATTCTCATCTCAAGCCAAGAGGGTTGAAGAAGTAGAAGGAGAAAAATGCATACGTGATAGCGCGAGGTCTGAAAGACATCCCAGGGATGACAAAGCCTAATAACAGTCTTAACCTTATGACGGGAAAATATGTCACGAAAGAGAGGAGGATGGCCCTAGAGAGCAGCTCTTTATTCTTAAGCTGCAGGTCAAGACCAGCTTGGTTGATGCCATAATTGATCCAGATAGTGAGAAGAATTTGATATCCGAAGTCTTGGTTCAAAAGCTGGATCTGAAGACGACCAATCATCCAAAGCCCTATCTATTGGGGTGGATTCAGAAGAAGACGGGACTGAGTGTAGTTGATCTATGTACTTTCAGATTTTCGCTCCATGAATCGTATATTGATGAGGTCATGTGTGACGTAGTTTCATTGGATGTTTGTCAGGTTATACCGGATAATTCCTATTTGTGGGATAGATACGCCATCCACGAGAGGCGGATTCAAAAGTACACCTTCACCAAAGTCGGGGAGAAATTCATATTTCGCTTGGTTTCTCTTCCAAAGGAGACAAACTTGGGGACGATAACGCGAGCGAAGAGGTTAGTGAATACAAGTAAGAAGTTTGTCTCGCTGTGCATTAAACTTTATGAAGAGCCATCGAAAGAGGGTTGCATTTTGGAACGGAATGTGATTACGACGAGACGTGGGGCGAAGGAGTCGTTTTCGATCGGACGTCAAGACGAGGTTCCTAGCAAGACCAGGTGGTTCAGAAAAGGAGGGGCTTGAGAGTTCCCTCAGCTAAAGTTCTAACTTGAACGAGACTTCAAGTTCCTAAAGGGGGAGTCATGATACGGTTGTATCTTCTTCTCTGCTTCAGGAGCTTAGCAATCTTTATGTGAGCTTGAGGATAGATGATTCTCATGATATCTTGATAATAGAAGTGTGGACGAAATCGTTGAAGGCGGCAAAGGCG